TCTCTTCTTTACCGCCGCTGCTGTCCTTGCCCTCCCGACCGTCGTGCCCAGGTGGAAGCACTGGCGAGCATGCTCAGCGCCGTCCGATCCGCGGCGGCGGCGGCGGCAGCGGCAGCGGCGGCGGCGGCAGGCTCTGCCCCGAACCCGGCCGCTGGCCCGCCCTCCGGCAGCGGGACTTAAAAGAAGGCCCCACAATGTGGTCGTGATCGTCTCATGTCTGTCGCGGTCGCACGCAAAGTTTTACGACAATACCGTAGTCCTTCCGGTTTGGGGCGGTGGCGGCGGGGGGGCTTAGAGTTCGGTGTGGGAGGTTTTGGATTGAGGGGCACGGCCGTTGGTCGTGGTGATGCGGAGCCACTGGGACCAAGGCCGCAGTCTGCGGTGCCCCGGACACATCCCGTACCGCACCGCAAAAGGGGGTCTCTCTTAGAACCGCGGCGGTACGGTATTTTTTCAGCATCATAGTGTGTCGTGCCAGCTGCTGTTGTCTGAGTGTATTATACTTCGAAGTAGTTGAGTTGGGGGGGGGGTCCCTTGTGAATACGCCAGAACAAATGAAAAAAAAAATCTTCAACAAGGGATACCTGTTGTTTTGTGTCGACTGGCGGCCGTCTTTTTTCGTGTGGACGTGTGTTGGTTGTTTTGTTTGTTTTTTTGCTGCCGGTTCTCTTGTTTTGTCACGTGCTGTATCTGGGTAGGATTGCGTTGCAGGTATTGTAGCTTGCACGTGAGTGACTGGCACACGCCCTCTTGCCACCTTACTTCTTGCCGGCGGTGGCCGCTTGCCAACGGCTTTTCAGGGTCGTGTGCACTATCTGCAAGAAAGAGCGTGCACTCGGGAGTTGTTTTACGGCGTAGCAGTCTGACACTTTGGACTCCAGAGAGAGCGAAAGAGAGATCACTGTTTCGGTTGGAAATTCGGAGACAAGCGTCTTGCACGGGAGCATCTCGCCATTCCCCCGGATGACACGTCGACTATGAGTCGTAGTTTGACGTGACAGGGCGTGAGGACTTCGGCATAATTTTCGACATGATCCGATCCAGACAGACGTGTTGGAGGCGAGAAAGAAAGAAGGAAGAAGATAGTGGGGATTGTTCAAGGCCTCTGCTGTCGTTAATGTTTACTCAGAGTCTTGAGTGGTGCATCACCTTTTCGCTTTTGACTTTTCTGGGTATGTCAGTGTCATGGCTGGAGCGAATCGTCAAGCAAGCTTGCAAAGGGTGGTCCTCTTTCATGGAGTATGTCAAAGGAGGCAGGCTTACAACCTCCACGTTGAGAAGAGAGAGGGGAGGAAGGGAAGGTGGGTCGCTTTTGCCATTCGTTGATGTAACAGTAGACAATTAGGTGATATTAGTGGGTATTGGTGGCACTGTTAGCTGCAATCTTGGTGGTAACATGCGACACTCAATGGCGGTGTTGAAACGAAAGAGCGGAGTACAGGCAGGCGTGAAGAGAGATTTGGGATGGGGGGCGAAAAAAAAAGAAGTGGTCATAGCGATCGGTGTACTTTGTCAGTAAGTGAATGAGGGGGCTCAAATCGTTGTTGAATGATCTGACGAGGAGGGCGTAAAACGAAAAATGGAGTATGCATGTATTATGCGTTCTTGGCGCGTTTGCGGTTGTTCTACATGTAGGCGTACTTCGATGATAAAACCTTGCGGCAGAAGAGAAAGGTTTTGGCGCTCCAGAGATGGGCATCTATCACATCTTTCGCGATGAAAATATTGGTGCTGTTTGTTGTCTTCACATTTAAAAAAAGGTTCCGATCTCTGCCCAGTACCTTCAATATAAACAAACCTTGTACGGTTCGAACTGACGCCGCGACGTTTTCCGTGGAAAACTGGTAAGAAAACATCCTTGATCAACCACATCCCACAACCAGTCGATATATGCGCCCGAAAACCCTTCGCATACAAGTACTTCGGGTAGATACATGCATTGGGAGATGAGACACAGAGCCCACCGCTCGCCCTCTCGACAGACGAGCTTGGTTGTAGAATACAGAGGAGGTCCCTGTTTCGTGCCGGTTGAATAGCCGATGCCCGGTGTATTTTGTAGTGCGCTCGTTGTTTTCGGGGGGCACACTCTGAATTTTCAAGTCATTTTGTCAGTACATTTGAATACTGCCGTTGATTTTTCTGAGCGCATAGCATACACCGGCACAAGAGGGACGACCCCCTCTGTATGGGCAAATATCAACAAAAGTGAAGGTGGGTGGTCTGTGTGTCTAGACGTCTGTACTTGGATGGGTTGTGCCGCTCGCTGGAAATTTCATTTGGCTATCTTTTTTCTAGCCAGCCACAAATAATAACAACGTCTATGGCTCTGCCGTTTTCTCCAGAACCTGCCCGTTGCAGAGTCATAAAGAGCAAGCACGAATGATGTTGCTTGCACTCCTCCCGGATATGTGCGCAGAATTTCTACTGTAGAGTACATACATAGGTCTATGTAGTAAAAGTGCGATGACACTCACTCACGGCAGCTACGAAGTGCATGTAAGAATGTACAATAAGTGGTGCGATGTACATAAGTACTGGCTGTAGGTTTGACATGATACATTTGCGGGAATGACAAAAGAATTGTGGACCAATTGATCAAGTTATGGTCCACTTTGCAACATCAGTGTGCGGCAAAGCGAGGTTGCGACAGGCAAACGGTAAATCCATCGATCATTATCATGAACAAATGACAGGAAATCTGTAAAAGTTGGGGCATTGGGAATGGACAGCGCCCATTGGCCAACGAAGTTCTGCGAACGATCCGCGAAAAACAAAAGAGTGGTTCAAAATGTGAGGACCATTTTTGACGCTCGGTTCAAAACAACACACATCCTACCACACACGGCCTGAGAGGCAGGCGATAGCTAGCCTGACACGCTAGCGTGAATCCAAGAGGGGAGACGGAGAGACGGAGGAAGCGGTAGGGTGCATCCTCGACATTGGTGAGTCGTACTGCTGTGAACATCACTGGGCGCTGAGCATTGCTGCAGATTTTGTGGAGATACAGCTGCCTATCCACAGCGGTAGTGATCGGAGTGCCTCGGCGAAGGGCTTATGTGGTCGCTTGAGCCAACTGCAGGCGTCTACAATCTCGGGATAAGCTTTTAGACCTTTCTACTGCTGGCTGCTGCTGTGGGCATCAGGACTGCTGGAGCTTCTCCCCCTCTTGTACATACTCTTGCGTTGTTTTTTGGAACAAAGTTTTGGCCCTGTCAATTTTGTGCGCCGCATGAAAGTCGGGCCACGAATATGGCGCCATTTTTTTCAGGTCAGTCGTCGCCGGTGTGCTACCGCAGAGGGCTGCTGGTGCTGGTACTTAGGAGAGGGCGTCAGGCCCCTATCTTGGCTGTCCGCCGGCTCTCTGCTGTCGGACTTCTTTTTGACATGCTCTAGGGCCAAAGGGTCGGGGAGTTGACCCGGGCAGCAGTCAGGGTCCATACTCCCCACAGCAAGTCGCCGCGTTTTTGGTGCCTGTACAACACATTCCTTCCCCTCTTGTGAGACCTACATTTACTACTCTGTTGTAGGCTAGAATCACCCCCCGGCTTTACGCAATGGCAAGCACTAAAAAAGCGGGCCGTGTTCGGGACCCGCGGATGATGCTGGTGCGACGGGTTGCGCGATCTCTTGGTTTGATCAGCAGATGGGGCGTGGTGTGCAGTAGCTCTGTTTCGTCGAAGTCTTGTCGATCTCCTTTTTTCTGGCGGACCGACATGCACACCACGCCACACACACACGACACGGTGGGCTTGCTGTTACTGCTGTAGTTTGCTTTGTCGGCTGCTGCAACTGGTGCTGGGGTGATGTGGCTGCTTCTTCCCCCCCACTGCTGTGCTCAACCGCAGCGCTACGTACTGGCCCTCCCGAAACGGGCAGAGACAGTCAAATTTAACAGTTGGCCACCAAGTTACCGGCAGCCATGCCAGGTTTCGGTAAACACACCGTATCCGGTGCTTGTACCGGTGTTCTGCGGCAACATGGCACATGACCATGTGTTGTGTTTTGGCAGCTTACAACCATGGGCTTGCACCCGTGTATAACAGTAGTAAACATGGTGCTCGCACGCTTGCACCCGTGCGTCAAGATACGCAACCATATCCGGTGGGCTAGTTGGTATCCTCGAAACCTTCTAGAGGTCAGGTCAGGGGTTCGAAAGCCGGCGTGAGCGATCTTTTCTTGCAAAGTGAGTTTTTCTCTCGCTTCCGCTTCTGGCCTAGTGGAAAGCGCTAGTTCGTGTGTACACAGAGGGAAGAGAGTGCTGAACTCTTCTCGCATTAAAAATCGAAGGCAAAGTACCGCAGGAGGGGAGGGTAGAGAGGGGCCCTTCTGTGTAAACACGGGTTGGAGTAAACGGCACAAGTGCTGTGAGCGCTGATTTGAAGTGAAAGACATTAAAAAAAAATAACAATAAAAAATATATATTATTACACAAAACCGCTAGCAAATGCGATTGTCCCGCACTGGGTGACGAATCTTGCTTGGGAGCCTCGAATGGGGCGCTTTACCAAGCCGTTACTGCTGTAGTGATCAGTACAATGTCTACCGAGTCAGCTTACCTAGAAACGCGATTAGACAGGCGTGGGCCGCCTCATGTCATTATCGACACGGCTTCCCCTCCTGGTCAAGACAGAATGCCCATGCCATTTCCTCTCGAAAAGGCACAAAAAACAAAGTTCAAGTTGATGGTAAAAGTTGTTGCTGTAGAAAATAGAAAATACTCCTCCGGCGGTGGCATCTCGATGACCCCAACAACAATAAGCCGACGGTCTTGTCGAGAGAATCAAGAACCAAAAATTGACCTCCAACCAATCTCCTTCTTACACATATGTACTGCAACCATGAACAAGTACCCGTTCGGGATGATCGTTCTCAGAGGAGTGAAATAGTGAGGATTTTGAGAGAAACCTGCTGGGTACTGCCCTCCCTCACTGCCCCGCAGGTTTGAGGGCACATGAAACGCTCGAGAGCTCCATCATCGATAGCAGCAGTAGCAGCAGCTGCCAGCGGCGGCGGCGGCGGTGGTAGAAGCGTCCGCGGCGCCCAAACTACGCGGGGGAACTCCGGAAGCAGCTTGACCGGCGGCGAGGAGTCCCAGCAATCCCTCGAGGTGGACGTCGGCATGGAAGACGCCAACCACGCCGGTGGAGGCAGCACTAGCCAGGCGTCCGCCAAGCCCTCTTTCCGACGCCGGTCCTCCCGCACCTCCCCTGCTGGCAATAGCAGCAGCGGCGGCAGCAACAGCAGTTGCAGCGGCGGCGGCGGCAGCGGCAAGAGGCAGAAGACTGCTGGCACCGGCAACGGCAGCAGCGGCGGCGGCGGTGGCCCCCAGAACTGCTGTTCTCCGGCGGCTAAAAGCGGCCCGCGGTCCGCGGCGCGATCTCCGAGGTCTCCGACGGCGACGGCCACGGCAAGCGTGGAAGCCAACGGCACCACGTCCTCCTCCTCCTCTCCGACTACGGGAGCGGCAGGCAGGGGGGGGTCGGGGGGTCCGAAGAATCGCAGGGGAGGAGGGGGGGGTGCGAAAGCCTCCGAGAAGGGCGGGGGGGGGGGGGGGGAACAAGGGGGGGGGGGTGGGGGGGGCCGCCGAAGAATTTTTTAAAACGGGGGCAATGGGGGGGGGGGGGGGA